GCGTGTGTGTTTGTGTTCTGTGTGTTTTGTTGTGAAAGCGAAACTACTTTGTTTGGTCTTCCAAAAGAGGACGATATCCGCTTCGTTATGCCTAGAGCTGATCTGTGCTGGTCGCTGAGGGAATACATCAACTTAGTGCTGTGGATCGCCGGTTCGGCTTTCACCGTGGACGAAGCGGAGTCCAGCCCGGGGTCTAGCCCGCCGTGTGAAACTACTTTGTTTGGTCTTCCAAAAGAGTACACGACTAGAAATCAGTGGTTAAGTTGTATTTACAACACTGTTCCAGAACACTTAAACCCAAATATTCAGATGTGTGCCGCACATTTTATGGAGGACCGTTTCCTGATCCTGGTCGAGTAGACTACAATGCCGGCTGTTCTGACTCAGCTAAGTACGTTTTTTATATTTAAAGGATTTGCCACTGATGATTCAAACAGAATTGAGCAGTGTAGAGTAGGCTTGTCATTTCTCCGATCACAAATACAGAAAAGGTTTTATGTTTACGAAGCGCGATACGCAATGCAACGCGTAAAAAGACAGTATAAGTCATTATAATCCGTAATTATGTCCCCACTGGATGCAACAAATGCCTCGTTTATAATGGGTTTTAATGTTTTTGTCTCATCGCTCCGGCCGGGCAGGTCATCACAGTATGGTGAGGGGCGTAACATTTCTGTCTCACGCTTGAGGTATTCGGCCAATCACAACACACTCGATAGCTGGTCAATCACAGCATACCTCGTGTAGGTTAGTGTTTACTATTGTCACTTTGCATTATTGACACACTATTTTCCTTCCTAATTAAGTACAGTTGCTTTGACACAATCTGTATTGTTAAAAGTGCTATATAAATAAAGGTGACGACTTACAAATGTATCTTACTATCTACAACCAAATGTCTGTCAACTTGTGTCCGTGTAATTCAGAATTACATGAATGTGCAGCGGTTTGTACAAATAGAAACATGTTTGTTAATACAGATGTTTTTCTTTTGCATTAGTCTATCAGAATGTGCGCATTCAACAAGGAAGATGTGCATTTGTGGATCGAGTGGCAAGCGTGCAATAAAATAAAATACTTATAAATGCATTTATTAAATTAGTTCTTTGTAACAGTAAATGTGGAATGTGCGTCATGATTTGATTTGTATTTTACATGATGTTTGGAGGCTCAGTAACCTCTGACCTCCAGCCAAAACCAGGCTGTGGCTCCTCAGTAGATCCGGAGCGCCATCTGCTGGCTCTCACTGACCATCATGCTTTCAGTCAACTTCAGGTCCAGTTTAATTATTATAGAAATTATTCCTATAAAATAGCAGAGGGGTAGATGTTTTCTTTTAGGCATAAATATCTTATTTTATAGTTTTTCATATTTTATAGTCATAATTATTTCATAATTGTTTAGTCTGGGAGGACTATACATTCATGGTTCCGCACACACGCTTCAACAGACCTGATGATTAGATGATAATTATTAAAGTCATTGGTTTAATAATAATAATAATAATAATGACAGGACAGGCGTGAGTTCGGCTCCATACAGTGACGTCCCGCTGATTCGCAGCGCTCGGTGATGACGTCACGGTAAGCGGAAGTGAAGGAGATTTCCAGAAATAGCGGCGGGTGCGCGAGACACACTAACACAGAGGAATATAACAATAATAGCTCTTATAATAATAGTAACAACAGCGGAACCGAGTGATTGTACGCGGCTTTATAACGGAGGCAGGCGCGTAACTGACAGAATCATCATCTTCGTGTGATTATTGTCTGTCTGTCATGACGACCATCGATTACAGTGTGTGGGATCATATCGAGGTGTCCGATGATGAAGATGAAATACATCCAAACATCGACACACCGAGTCTGTTCCGCTGGAGACACCAGGTGTGTGTGTGTGTGTGTGTGTGTGTGTGAGAGAGAGAGAGA